TGTGCTCTGGTGTGGTTTGCTTCTTCTTTTCTATCAAACATCTGGTCATGGGTGGTTGGTGTGTGCTCTGGTGTGGTTTGCTTCTTCTTTTCTATCAAACATCTGGTCGTGGGTGGTTGGTGTGTGCTCTGGTGTGGTCTGCTCCTTCTTTTCTATCAAACATCTGGTCATGGGTGGTTGGCGTGTGCTCTGCTGGTGTGGTTTGCTCCTTCTTTTCTATCAAACATCTGGTCGTGGGTGGTTGGCGTGTGCTCTGGTGTGGTTTGCTTCTTCTTTTCTATCAAACATCTGGTCGTGGGTGGTTGACGGGTGCTCTGGTGTGGTTTGCTTCTTCTTTCCTATCAAACATCTATCGTACTTATCTCCCCTTCTTCTTTTTTATGTTTGTTACTCTCTTGTAACACCTCTAATCTTCTGGCGTTCACATGATCTTATACAGTTGCGAGCGCAGTAAAACTCTACTAAAACTTTTTTTAAAAAACCATCTGTCGTACATATCTTTCGTCCTTCTTTTTTTGTGTATGTTACTCTCTTGTAACACATAATCTATTCTTCGGCATTTATATGACCTTATTGTGTTGAAAGTGCCGTAAAACTTTTACTAAAGCTAAAAAATTACTAAAACTAAGATGTTGTTGGTGGGGTTGTTTTTTTTTTTCTTTTGAGGTTGGTTTTTTTCCCTTTAGGGTCTGCTTGTTAAGGCTCTCAGCCTGTGCTGTAAGCTATGCTTGTTCTGTTGGGTGATCCTTTCCTTGAATAGTATTTTTCAGTATTATTATAAATAACAAGGGCACTTATAGTAATGGCACCATCATCCTTGGGGTAACTGTTAAGCTCTTTCCTATTGTTCTCAGAAAATGGGATTTCAATTCTCGAGTGGGACACTTTTAAAAATTTTTATTTTTAAAAAATTGCTTTTCTTTTTCAGCAGCACTTATACACATTTCCACAGATGTAAAAAAAAAACCCAAACCCAACACATTGTTATGTTGTTCCTTCTGCAGCAACTTACAAACCTCCTGGAGAGTGAGTAAGATAAAAAAAATTTTTTTTAATCCTTATGTTCTTTCTTTTGCCAGCATCTGTCCATCGCCACGAAACGAATGACTTTGCACATTGAGGAACAGCTGCTGTGGAAATTGCTGCAGTTGTCAGGGATGGGCAAGGATGAGAGGACAGTTCAGAAACCTGATGAGACCTATGATACACACAGGTCAGAGGTCATTGGGGTCATCTTAGACTGACTACTGGGCACAGCTGCTTTTTCGCTGAATTTGTAATGCAGTAATAGGACTTTGTAAAACACGCCGAGCCAACTTTTGAGTAATCAGTAGTTATTTTATTATGAGAAATATGTATTTCATGAGAAAGATATAAGGACAATTACGTGGCTTAGTGTATAGTGTTGACGATAGCCTCCTTTGTTGGCAGTAACACCAGAAATGTGTTTCTTCCATTGTATAGGATTTCTAAGTGTCTAATTTGTGGAAGGCAACAGTTTGAACTGGTTGAGTTGAATTCCAAAATAAACAAGAGACTGATAGACTTTTCATGTTAAATTTAATTGATGACGATAACCTTTTGTAAATTTTTTTCTGGGATGTGATAAGTCCTTTTAGAATTACTCGCCCACATTTTCATCGCTCAGACGACCTTTGGTGTAACCAACTTTTTGTATTGCCTCTGAAGTTTTCAGGCTGTACAGTCGGGTTTTTTTATTCCTCCTTTTTCATGCATTGCATTTTGGTGCTGCCTTTTTGGTAAAACATTTCTAGGACAACTGCTCCAACAAATGCCAACTTTTTTCTATGGCTTCCCAAGTGGTCAAGCCTGACATTTCTTCATTTCAGAGCTCTGTCTGCGGTCACATCTATCCAGTCCACCCGTTACTATTTTGGGAACATAAGACTGGCTGTCAATCGGGTGACGTTGAGCATGGTGACCTCCAGCAAGTTGACTCCTGACCTGAAGACCATCAAGAATGCGATGCCCATGACCATCATAGCCTTTGAGCAGGCCAACATAGACATGCGTGAGTGTGGGAGGAATGGGGGAAAAGGTTGTTACAAGTGACAAGGGGGGGGCAAGGCAGGGCAAGAATGGAATTACAGGGGTGTGTGTTTTTAAATGCATCCCCTTTAAGACTCACCATAACCCCCTTGACTTTACTTCTTTTTTTCAGATTTACCATTTCAGTATCCCAATGGCACGTATTGCATCCCCTTTGGTATATACTGCTACCATTCACATATTTTGCTTTTATTGACTGTCAAGTGTCCATTTGTTGCTGGAGGAATAAGAGAAAATGACATTACACACTTAGCCTAAGAATATAACATCTTATCTGATGAAGGCAGGAATGAATTTCATTTTTTTTCTTTCTTATTTTAAGTCAGAAGCCCTTTGCTTGATAAGGATGTCCCTTACTCAGATGTTATAAGCCTGTAACACTTTGTCTTGGAATTCATGGTTCATGTAATGTATTTCTTCCATGTCTGCCACAGATCCTTTTGAACAACATCATGTGTTTGAGACGGGGCCTTTCCTCATCAGTGAGATCATGAACCACTACAGAGAGGTGACAACTGCGCTTGCATTCCTATTATTGAACCAATCTCTGAAATGATATACTAACAAATATAGTAAATTCAAAGGTGACATGTTTTTATCATATCAATTTTGGGCTGGACTTTAAAAAGCCAGTATTTCCCTTGTAGATTTTGTATTGTGCCTTTTTTCTCACTAATAGTTGGAAATGTTTAGAGTTTAGATCATCATGACTTCTTTTCCCTTTGTTAAGACATGTTGATTTAAAAAAAAAATCCCTCTCCTCTCTCACTATCTCTTTTTTTTTGGTGTCTTTTGACGCTGCTCTTTTGAATGTATTTCTCAACTATTGTCTTATCTGTATCTTATCTCTCGTTTGTTCTACCTCACCCGTACAGGAGTTGATCAGCCAGGCAGCTAAGATCCTGGGCTCTGTGGACTTCTTGGGCAACCCCTTGGGTCTGGTCAATGACATCACAGAGGGCATCGCTGGCTTTGTCAAGGACGGGAACGTCAGTGGACTGTTGAAGAATGTCACTCACGGAGTCTCTAATTCTACAGCTAAGGTAATGCTTGTTACTCATGGTTTGGAATATGAAAATGAAAACTACAGGGGAGAAAATGGCCAAGTCCCATTTTGATGATTTTGAGAAAGTTTTCAAGTTTACAACCAAATAGTTTACTAATGCAGTTGCAAGCGCCGTAAAACTCTCACTAAACTAAACTAAAGAGTTGAAATCTGATCCCCTCTTTTTTTCATTGGAAAGTATTTATTTTCTCTCTGGAATGTTATATGTTGTTAAACTGTAGTGTTTTAAAGGCCTCATGGAATATTGCTGTCTAGTTTTACTCCTATACAAAAACACGACTGCTATCTTCTTCCTGTCGCACCCACTCTCCACCTCACAGGTTGTGAGTGGGTAGTGTGCTCTGGTATGGTTTGCTCTTTCTTTTCTATCAAACACCTATCATCTTTATCTCTCCTTCTTTTTTGTATTTGTTACTTTCTTGCAACACCTGTAATCTTCAGCATTTATGTGACCTAATTGTGTTGCAAGTGCCATAAAACTCTTACAAAAACCGAACTTTAACAGGTGGTGAGCTCTCTGTCTGACGGGATCAGCACAGTGGGTCTGGACGACGACCACAATCGCCGACGGGAGGCTCTACGTAACGTGACCACAGGCAGCAGCAGTGACCACCTGGTGGCCGGGATACGCGGCTTTGGCCACGGCATCTTTGGCGGGGTCACCTCGCTCCTGTCGCAGAGTATCACCGGGGCGCAGAACGAAGGGTTCGGGGTCAGTATAATCTTACGATTTTTTGTTAGTCTCTGTAGTCTTTTGCATGCAATGACAAAGAGCATGACTATTACACTACAGCCGCAAGTGAAGTGATGTTTTGTGTTCTTTGTGGTTAGCATCATTTGGAAACCGGCACTACTTAGGAAAACTTAATTTACAAATTAAAAGAAACATTGCTTTTTGTATCCTGTTGCTGCATTTCTAATTTGTTTTCTCTTCCTTTGAGTGAATTTCTTAACTTTTCAGGATGTAGGAACCTTTACATTCAATGTTTAGCTATACTTTTTATGTATATATTTTTATATCCTATTATGTTTGGATTTTTTAATCGTAGACCTGGTTTCTTGAACATGATTATGATGCAGATTTGGTTGCAAACATTTGAATACAAGTTTTGCAATGTCCATTTCTTCTCAGTTGTGCTTTATCTTCTCTGGATAAGTCTAGTTTAGTGTCACATTAATTTTTTTGTTTGAGTGAGTATTCTTGGAATAGGTTCTTTCCTATATGTGAGATTCATAAGCATTTTAGATACTACTATTCTTACGTTATTGAATGTTCAATTTTAAATTTCTTTAAGGGATGGTTAGCATTTGTTATTTCTCATTGTAAAAGCTCTGACTATAGTTGCACCCTGTACCCTTGTTAATTTCTTGTACATGTTAATAAAGGATTTAGTTTCTTGTCTCGTGGGGGATAAAGCTTTTGGTTGTTGGTCCTATGGTCCTGTAAGTCTCTCATGAGTGATTTGATTTTTTTTTAGGGTCTCATCAAAGGTGTGGGTAAGGGAGTACTTGGCACAGTGACAAAACCAGTGTCTGGTGTCCTTGACCTGACCTCCGGCCTGGCCAGCGCCCTTCGGGACAGCAGCACGCGGACCTCCCACCGTGGGCCGGCCCGACTGAGACTCCCGCGTTGCACACACGGGCCGGGCGGTCTTCTCGAGGCTTACTCTCAGGCCCAGGCGGACTCGCAGACGGTTCTGTACGAGCTGAATGGCAACGACTTCTCCGAGCAGTGAGTGGAAGATGTGCTCACTTATGCACTCACACACACACACTTAAACATACTGCTCAGTGGAAGATTCTACCATTTGCCACTTTGAAAAGTGACGCCTGGCGGAGTCTTACACTGAGCAGTCGATATGCACTTTCTCATCTCATTCTCTCTCACATGGTAATATCTCTCTCATATGCATATACACTTATACACACATGCACAAACACATACTCTTTCTCTTTTTCTTTCTGTGTGTGTGTCTGTCTGTCTGTCTGTCTGTCTCTCTCTCTTTCTCTCTCTCTCTCTCTCTCTCTCTCTCTCTCTCTCTCTCTCTCTCTCTCTCTCTCTCTCTCTCTCTCTCTCTCTCTCTCTCTCTCTCTCTCCTCCCCCCCCCCCTTCCTCCCTCACAGACACACACAGTTATGCACTTTATCACATATTTAACACTTTCTTTCTCCCTTTTTCTCTCACACACACACTTTTGTACAAACCTGATTTTGGGGAAAACATAGTGGTCACTTGTGCTTTGGCTCTTAGAAATAATATGTGAGGCATCGTGGTGAAATCAGGCGCTCATCAAAGTAATGAAATCAAAGAAAGGCATTTTTGCACCAGTTTTATCGAAATTTTGTTTTTTGGCTAAACACTTTTTATGTTCATATGAAAACACATTTCCATATAAATTTTACTGAAAACCCTTGTTTAAAGGCACAGAATATGTAATTTTCAGTTTTCAAGGACTCTTATGCTCTTGAAGTTACCAAACTTTGGCGGCCATTTTCTCACTTATTTTACTTCTGAAACCAGGCAACCCCACTTCCTTCAATCGCAAATATCTCCACTTCTATTTAAGATAAATGGACATTTTTTTCTTTGAAAGCAAGGCAAATGAATAAGCTTTTAGATGACACCAATAGCTCCATATGCCCAAAAATTGACGAACGCCTGGTTCCACTGCGTCATGACATATTTACTTAAAAGAAATTGAACAGATGGATGATGGGAAAAGACCTGAATAATATAGGGTTTTTTGTGTTATTTTTTTTTTAGAGCACCCAAACAGAAATGAGTGGCAAATCAGGGTCACCGATATCTGTTTCAGATCTGGCACCAGAAAAAGAGGAAGAAGAGAAGAAAAAGAAGATGAAGAAGAAGAAGATGTAGATCAAACATGATTGATGCGAATGAGTGTGCCAGGATGGCCCCGGCTTCCTGCCCTCTCTTACCGTGGATTTTTCTCTCCACAGCCTCATCGTGATGGAACAGCTGCGCTCAGACATGAGTGGCGAGGGAAACATGCACGTGCTCATCTCCAGTCGCCAGGTCTTCTTCTTGAACAAGCGACGTGCAAGTGCGGAGAACGTGGTCCTCAGCATAAAACACTCTGACATTCTGCAGTGTTCTAGTACTTTACTGGGTGGGTTGTCATCTCCTTTTTTTGGTTGTTTTTTGGGGGGGTTTTTTGTTTTTGTTATTGTAAATGTTTTACAAGGCTCACAACTGCATAAGGTCATATTAGTGCCTACTGAGCATTTTCAATTATGGTAGGAACCAATTTTTAATTTTGCGCGGGTGGTGGCCGAAACCTACTCTTATCAATTTTTGGACCTCATAGGGATCTTTAACGTGCGCAACTTGCACATGGAACCTTGGTGATTTTTTCTCCCTTATCCGAGATGGCTAGGTGTTTGATCTTACCTTCCCTAAGATCAGGGGTGTGGCTGAAAGACAGCAGTAAGAAGGAGCCGGGAGTTTTCATCACCACTCTTGTGCCTGGGACATGTATTATTGTATGTGTTGGCAGTTGGTTGAAAGTGGTCTCTTAACTGATTGGTGTATGGGCTTGCAATATATAAGCTTCCTAATGTGTTTACTACGCACTGTCTCACAAAGTGATTGTTTGGTGAGTGCTCTGATCTGGTTTGCTCCTTCTTTCTTATCAAACATTTATCGTCCTGATCTCTCCTCCTTTTTTATGTGTTTGTTACTCTCTTGTAACACTTCTAATCTTTGGCACTTATATGGCCTTATTGTGTTGCAATTGCCGTAAAATGTTTAGTAAAACTAAACTATCTCATAAAGTTATGAGCAGAATAAATGAGAACATGCCACTGCCACCATAAATACGAAATAAGAACATGCCTTAGCTAAGATAAATATATTAAAGGCCGAGTCAGTATCTAAATTGAAATGATCTAAATTGTATAGATGGGGGTGTGAAGACACCTTTATGTACATGCGTATGTCCATCTTTTGCAGCTTTCTATTTAGTTGTTCTCCCTTTATGTGAATGATAATAAACCAATGTCTCCATGCCAAGGACTTTTCACATGCTGGAATTATTTGCTGACAGAGATTGGTGGATTATCAAGAGCATGGGATGTGTGCTTGCTTGCTTTATGCTAAACAGCAGTAGAAGAAGGCATTGCTGACTCTGATAGTATTAAATTCAACTCGAAGAACTTGTTGCGAAATTTGATACTTTACTGTTACCTATCCACTAAATCCTGAAAAAAAACCCCCCAACAAAACAATAAAATGAAAGTTAATTATAGTACAAATGGACGGGGACTGGATTTCAGATATTGTATAAAGAACATTGGTGTCTTTCTAATCTCGCCCAACAACGCATAGTGATAGTTGTGTTGCTTTGACCATAAGTGACTTTTGACCTGTTGATTTGACCATAAGTGACTTTTGACGCGTTGATATGACCATTAGTGACCTTTGATGTGGTGTCATTCCCAGAGGGAAAGTATTACGTGGAGCTGACCCGTAAGACAAGTGTGAACAGTGACCACTCCAGCACCAGCCTCAACAGACCACGTGTCCGGTGTGAGAAACAGACTATTGCCCAAAAGGTAGGTCTATAACCAATGCTACTGCTGCAGCTTGAGTGTATATGTGATTTGGATTTTTCTTAAAAAGGGAAGTATCTAGCATTTTTGCTTAACTCTTTATTTCAGGGGGGGGGGGGGGGGGGGGGGGTAAACCCACTTGCTGGGGCCAGTTTTTGGTACTAAATCTAAAAATGACAAAATTATCACTAAATTGGTGATTAAATCAAAACAAGTAAACCTATTTCGATAGTTCTTGATCTAATGAATGAAATACTGATAAAAGAGAACTGTTTTTGGCAACTGCCGAAAATTAGTTTGATGTCAAAGTCGTCGTAAGGAAATGCGCCTGAGCTACTCGGCTCATCGGCACAGTGGTTGCGACAACAAGCCGCAGGAGATAAAGAGTTAATATTATACAATCTGAGATCAGCCCTTTTTACCTTGGGGGGGGGTCTATGGACGCATTGTTAGTAAGGGAGTGAGTTCAGTTTTCTGTTGGTTTTTCTTGGGGGGGGGGAGAGAGTGATTCACTTGTACCCACCTGGCTTGCCTCGAGCTGGGGTAAAAAATAGCTCATAACTTACATAAGTTAACGCACTCACTTTAGACGCACAGAATGCCCAAAATACTTAACACGCCAAAATGAAATTTTCCTTAGGTTTTACCTAAGATGCTTTACTAGAATATTTGAGGGATAGGAAACATGAGAGGAGAGAAAATAATCTAATTCTTTGTTGGACAGCGAGCGGCCCTTGTTAGGCTTTATTTTCAGGGCTCTGAGGTCAGACCAATAGCTTTGTTTGTCAAGATCTGTTTTCTATTTTCACATTCTTTGTTGCTTATACCTCAAATGAAACTAGAAACATGATTTATTCACTTTTACATGCTCAAAAATGGCCTTTGCACATCTTTTTGTAATTTGAATTTTAAATTTTCTTGTCACCTTGCTTCATTTTGTTCATGTTTTCTTCTCAATATTTAACAACTCTAATTGTTTTTGTTTTTTATGGGGGATTTTTTCCAGATTAAAGGACATTTAACTTTTTATATCCTTAGGGACATTTTATATCTTTTTGAAAACCTGGAAACATAAGATGTGGGCTTGTGTAGTTCATACTATACTTGCTACATCTGTTCTTGTAGACTAGCCTTGTCCAGCGCACAGGCCCTTCATAAATGCAAGTAAGTTGGGCGAAATGAGTGGATTTAGCTGTTTGATTTGCCCTCAGTGGTAATACAAGTTAAACACCTAAACATGAAAATCTCCATTTCAAAAACAGAAGTTATGAAGGTCAGCAGAAACTCATGGAAACTCTGCATCCTTATTGATGGAACACAACCCCTACAAGTAGAGGAATTTAAATATTTGGGAAGCATCTTCATACAAGATGGGCGTTTGGACAAAGAAATAGATACAAGAACTGTGAAGGCAAATGCAGTGACCTACCAGCTAGTACCCCTGCTCAGTCTCAAGAACATCCCAACTGAAGTGAAATCCCAGCTCATCAATAGCATCTTCATACCAACTTTAACATACCTGTGCCAAACATGGTCTCTAAACAAGGCACAAGAAAGAAAAATCAAAGCATGCGGAATGAGGTGTCTCCGCAAAACCATCATCGTCACCAGCAGAGACTGCATAAGAAACGAAACCATACGACTACAGACCGGAATACCACCAGTAATAAAATTCATAGAGCGTCAAAGAGTCATATGGTTTGGACATCTAACCAGAATGCCCGAAAATCAACTAGCGACTAGAGCTTACAACACTCGAAAATCGGGCTTCAAATCAAGAGGGAAACCAAGAAAGACCTGGCTGGACGCGGTTAAAAAGGTCCTGGAACAACATAACATATCTAACATATCTATCACAGACACTACACACCTAGCACAGGACCGAAACCTGCACCTCCCCTTGACATCCTAAGGATACCAGAGGAAGGAAAAAGTAAAAATAAAAGTAAGATAGTATAAGTGACAGTAACTCCCATGCCATTTGAAAATCTTGTGTTGTTTCATACGGAACATCATGAAAAAACATTCTAGTTGTGTACATGATGTTAAACCCATATAATTGTTAAGCTCAGACTTTATATTTTCCCATCTCCTCATAAGACAAGATGTCTTTGTTTGGTGGTTTTTTTATGTTTTCATCTCCTCGTTAGACAAGTTGGTCTTGTTCACCGTAATTTTGGTTTTCTCCTCTCCTCAGGTGACTCAAGAGATAAAGTATGCTAAGAATCTTTTCGATGAGCGAGCTCAAACCCTGGAGGAGGAAGACTCTGACGATGACGGCGAGTGGTGATCTGGTGCAGGGATCACTATGCGAGTGGTGGTGGTGTGCACAGCTCACTATAAGAATGGGGGATTGTGTGCACAGCTCACTATGGGAATGGTGATCGTGAACACTGTTCATCCCTGCTGACTTTTTTACCTTTCAAAAGATTTGGCTTTTGCCCCTCGAGGATATCCCTAATTTTTTTTCTTTTTCTGTATCACCTTCGTGACCTTCTTGTATGCTAGTGCAGGAGATATTGGGCACTGATGTGATGTTCCCGCATGACTATTGGATGTTCAAGGGTTAATCTATCTACAGACAGCTGACGTGTACATTACCAGCATTATCCTCAGGGCACTGAAGGCACCTCTGGATGGTCCAAAGATTTCCTTGTCTGGGAAATAAATTCCTTCTTGAAAAACTAATTATATTTAATAAATCACTCATGCTTTGAAGAGAACTTTTTAGTTCTTTACGTCGACTTGGATTTTGACTACAGAGCTGCACTCATTGACCCTGAATGTCCCAGGGGACTCCAATGATGGCAGGACAAGAGGATTATTGGTGAGGTGTGTGACATACAAAGAGATTCTGCCAAAAAAGGACAAATCCTTTTATTTAAAAAAAACCACATTGACTGTATAAATTTTGAATTTTTCCCCACGTATGAGATTTTATGAAGAATTTTGTATATCTTCACTGATGACCATTGTCTTTTTGCTTCTTCTTGCTTGTCTGCTCACCTGTCTTAAGTATGCAGTTACTGTTTTGTCTAGTGCAGAACTTGTACAAATTTTGTTATCATCTGACTGATGAACAAATTGTGAGCAATGAGTTGATGACATGATTGAATATCTGATGTGCGTAATTGCTTACTGTGTGTATGTATGTGCATGCATGGTCAAGAACTGTATTGAGTACATTTTTTAAAACTTCTGTCTGGTGTCCCCTACTTGCCTTAAAGTGCTGTGCCCTACCCACATGCCCCATATCTTAAGTATTGCTCTTACTTATGTTTACATGTTCTATTGCTTTCTTTCTTATTAGTGCAATCATGATTGTGTCAGTTTAAGCAACTGAATCAATAACAGCATGCTTTTATGAATATGCCCAAGAAACAAAGCTGTAATTGTGATGATTAACTGAAAATAATTTTTGAAATCACAGATAGATGGAGATGGGGAAGGGATTTAAAATTTTTGCATCGGAGTGGTTGTGAGATAGATTTATAAGGACCTTTGAATGATGGTTGTAACTGTCATTCCATTCATTTGGAGGATTTTTGTCCTCTTTGAAATTTAACGTCACGTCCTTACTTGAGAATTTACATGGGGAGGAAGGCACCTTTAGAAGCATGGTAGTGTGTTTGCCTTTATTTTGTGAAAAGTCTGGACTTGCATGCATCCATTATTCTGAGGTGGTGAATCTCCTTTCTTTATCTTTGTCCATCTCACTTATTGCTTATTGAATTGTAAGCACAAATAATGTTCAATCAAATGAGAAAAACTCAATCCAGACGAGGTAGAGATTTGAAAAGGCTGTCTCTCATTTTGACTATTTCTGTGGAGTATGTGCAGAATGTAGGAAAGCACGAAGGTCTCAGTACTGAGGCCTGACAAACCTGTTCCCTACCTCAGCCCACTGACTTTCTTTGCCCTGTTCGAGGGTAAATGATGCTGCTAATTATTTTGCTAAATGTTTCCTTACAGTATGTTTGCCTGTATTACCAACCTTAACTTCCACAATGTAGCAACCGACCAGCATGTGCTACAGGTATGACCTTGTGTTCTGACGCAAAAACCAATTCAGCATGGCTCCAAAATTTGAGACAGTTGAAGGACATTTGGAGTTAAACTGTACCAAAATGGCAATAGGACTGTAACTGCAAAATCGTGCGGATTAAGGTTAGTGAATTCCCTTGTTATCAAAAGACTTGGGCTTGTGCACAAGTAACAAGTAGGGCCTATTGAACACACGTCTTCCTAGGACGTCTCCTCTGTACAAGATCCCCAGCTACTTAAACCGTGGTTCGGGTGCATCACGCCGACATTTTCATTTGTGTTATATCTAAGCAGTCCTGATGCCAAGAGTATAACAGAGTAGATTTGCTATTCCTTTCTTTCATAAAGATTTTCTTCTGCTGTATATAAATGACCAATGTTTATGTGTCTTGATCATGATTTCCTGTGCTTGGACATCATGAAATGTTCAGCATACAAACAATCATTCCTTCAGTAGCAGCTGCAGATATCCATGCTCTTATCAATGTTCTGAGTGTGTTTCTTTTTGGTCTTTGAGTATCTTCTTTGGTCATAATATTGATGCATGATGCTTTTTAACAGTCATGTATTCGTTCGGTACTCTCTTGCACAATAAGACTTGCACACATTGATAATGGTGTCATTTTTCTACCCTTTTTTTTCTTTTTTTACATTGGCAATGGGTTATGTCAAATATTTCTGTGTGTCTGTGGATGTTGATGGGTTACTTTTTATTTGTGTTTATATACATTATATGTACATTGTAACGACTGACTTTTCTGTGGCTGAGACTGAATAAAAGGTTATGGTGATGTCTTCTCCACTTTCAGCTCTCAGGGAAAACCACAAGCCATATGTGTATGCGTCTGTGTGTGCGTCTGTGTATGTATTTGTGGATGTGAGGTCATCTTCTGTGAGGTAGCCTTATAAGTTATGCGCTCATGTGAGTGCCTTGACAAAGATGTGCTTTTTATTTCAATGCTCCTTCAAACGTATGCAGTCCTCCAAGGTATATATATATTACTTCTGTCATAATATTTGTGTGTGCTACATTGCTCTAAATATTAACTTTCTTAGTTCAGCTAGTGGGAGGAGTTTTCTGTTTTATAAATGGAAGCAGTGCAACAGTAGCGGCTTCGTTTGTCCCACGTCACAGACTAAAGGAGTTGCTGGACACATTGTATTGACCAAGGGTCTTCTCATTTTTAGCTCAGTGTGTGTGTGTGTGGGTGTTTATGTGTGTATGTCAGTGTGAAAAACTGATGATCAGGACCGAAGGTGCCCGTGAGTGGCAAATATTGTTGTGAGTTCACAAACTGATTTGTCAATACATTTGTATTGAAGCTTTTATCAGCCATCATTGAGTAACTCCTGTCTGAGGCAAGGGGATGAGGAAGGCTAGTGAAAACTCGAAATTACAAGATTTGTAAACGTGTGTTGTGTACACATTAAACAAAACTCTGCGAGGGACACGCCCCCATGCTAGATCTCATTTCCGCTTATCCTGCAATTTTGATCTATGTAAAATTATCACAGCAGTGAAATGAGTGTGTAACCATCACCATGATCACTGGTGTCTGTTTGAGGTCTGGTATTTGAAGGAAAAAAAGAAGAAGGATTTTTGTACTTCTCACTTAAAATTATGACATATTGTAGCTCATTGAAGGGGTTGTTGTAGTCTTCAGTTACATTTTTTTCCTACTAGAGAATAATGGTAGGAAGGAGACGCTTAATGTAGAAGTGATAGACGTGTATGCTCACTCTTTTTTCCCTACGTTTTGTTTTATTTCTGAATTTGTGACGACAAAGAGATGTGTTTTGCTCATTTACCTCAAAGCCTTATTCTCTGGAGCTTATATCACAAAAAACAGTTGTATATATGAAAGCTTAAATACAAGAAATCTAAACAATGTAGATTTTTTGTGTTCATGCTTTTATGCAACTTTTAAAAAATTTTCTCAAATGATCCAACCTCTAGCAGCTTCAATAGCTCATCTTTCTTGATTTTCTTGTTGAGAAGTACACAGTACATACAATCTGGTCGTAAGAAAAATTTGGTCCATATTTGCCATATATCACATCTATATTGTAAATATATATCATGTGCGTGTATGTGTGCCTTCTATTATTATGTACATGTTAAGCTCTTTCGTTTGGTTTTGTTGTTGCATTTAGTCTTTTCATTGAAGGGAAAATATATTGTTTTGCTTTCTGTCAAAATGACTGTCCGTTCCCTGGACTATGCATGTGCAGCACAATATTTTCGCCAAGGTTTACATGGTATGGTGTGGGTATCACATGACATAATGGTCAACATTTGGATTTAGTTGACTCTGCTCCAGTTCAGCTAGCCTACTTACAACTTAAAGTTTTAGATCTTGTTTTGTTTTGTGGGGGTCATTTTTCGTTTTGTTTTGCGTTTTAGTGACATTTGTTCGCTCCTGATGTATATTTTACTTGTGATTCACAGCTGTTGTGCATTTTGATTTCAGTTTTCTTCCATGAATCTAACAAGATAAGTCTTTGCAGTCACAAGAAATGGATTCTTTTTCAGCCATATCCAAATGGCAAGGGATCTGTTTGTGCCCTTGTTTCTTTCATGGATCATCTTCTCTTTAACCACTGTAATGTTGATGTTGTTGGGCTTTTTGGGCTAGCCATTTATTTATTAACAGCACAGAAGCTGTGGGTGTAACGGGAAACATTTGAACTGTCTCTGCCTAAAGGAAAGCTGAGGCTGTTTTGTGGATTCCTACATCTGAATGTGTGTTTGCACATATGAACACACACACACACACAACCTGTGTCTGTGGTGTAGCGGTTAATTGCTTTCCATTGCTCACAGGAGACCTGAGTTCGATTTTCATATGGGGAGAATTTGTATGGAGTAACTTTTTCTCCTTGGATACTGTTTCCCTCTAAGTCTAAGTAGTCTAAGCCCAGGTTGGCCCTGACACCCACCTATTCTAAATGATCTAAATTGTTAAATTGTATCGTTGGGGACACTAAAAACACCAACTTAATGATTTTTCACACACACACACACACATGCAGACATAAGTATTTATATTTATACATAAGTGTTGTTTGGAACATGCAACAGACCAGATCGTTATTTCAAATTGGGTTAGGTTTGGTTTTCTAGATGTTTAGTTTCCTGACTCCTAACATTTTGACAGAAGCAGTATTATTGACTGTTGTAAGAAAATCTCTTTTTTATTTAGTCATAAATTTATTATTTCTCGCAGAGATTGTGTTGTCAGTTGTCCTGGCCTCATCTGTGATGTCCATGATGTTGGTGAAGTCTGGAGTTTATGAAGAATTTTCCTTGCCATTTCACATTATTGATTATGGTTTTTGCCATATTTAACCCTATCCGTTCGTCATGTTTTACTATCGTATCCATACGACGTGGAGAACTCTGTGCCACCACTTTCAAAGAGGAAATTTTCTCATTAATCCGATCCGTACGCTTTGCATAGCAGCAGTGTGTCAAAATGATTTTTTTGAGAAATACTGAAAGTTTCAAAGAGATTTTCGTACTAAAAGTATTCTAAAATGTGAAGAATACAACCCTGGGGGTACAAAATGACCCCAGGGCGTACGGATAGGGTTTTTAAAAAAAATTGCGCCCTATTTGCCAGAATTTGCCTTTTCACCTTTTCATCTTCTTTGTGTTTTTAATCTGTGGGCTGTCAAACTTGACAGACTGTGGAGTGATCTATCGGACAGACTTGGTGGTGGTCTGTCTGATGAGGTTGAGGACAGACCACACACAGTTTTGTCTCCTGGGGATGTATGTAGGGATAATCCTTTCATTTTGCTCCTCTGATTGCATAGCGGGTCATATTATCAGAAAATTTCTTGTCTATACTTAAAGTGTAATGTTGGTGTCTGTGGAGGTGTCGGCATCTTTTTTGCTAAAAGTGGATAGTTGTAAATGGAGATAATGTTTGCTTGTTAACGTAAGCGTATCGTAAGTGTCGCAAGCGATGCAAGTGCATTTCGGTGCTTTTTACAGAGACAGAAAACTAATTTTTGTTGCATTGTTCCTGAGTTCCTGTCAGGAATCATGAAAATCAAGAAAATTGTAAGCCTTGGCCATATTATTAAACTGCATTTTGGTGATGTTGAAAAGTGTATCTTTGTTAAGGCTTTGGGAGGGTGTAAAAATTGAAAATTCTTAAAATTTGAACTTAATGGATTCATTGTCAATGCAACGATGCAGTGGATCAGCTAATATATATATATATAATATATTGTGTATTGGTGTAATATTGTGTCACTGTACGTTGATGCTTTGTCATACATATATGTGTGAGGATGCTCTCCAATCAGCATTTATTATCTCCTAGTCAGAACAAGAGAGGAGCAGACACTCAACAGACATAACAGACAGCCTGAGACTGTTTCGTGTGTGGCCAAATCACAACAGTGAAAACTTTTGGATAATTTTATTAATCTTACGCTTTTCAATCCCCACCATGCTAATGCTATTTTCCGAAGCCCATGGTTTCATCTCTATGTTTTTGTTTTTTAAGGGTTGGTATTTGGCATACGTAATATGTGAATGTCTTTCTTAATGCACTATGCCTATAGCACAAAACAAGACAGTCAGGGAGTTTTATTATGTTGTTAAGTTCACCAAACTGCCATGAGACGAGGAGAGACTTTGTGAAGAATCAGTGGTGTTTGGTCTGTTCCTGTGAAATATCCACTGTATCTTCCTCCCACAGACCCAATGAAGTCCTGTGCGTAACAAGACCCCAGGAAAGCTCTGCCTTGATTCTTCCACTTGTTTCGCCCTTTTCTGTTTCATGGCTCCGTGGGAAAAGAGAATGTTCTGTGCGAGAGGAACGACATGTAATAATTGAGTGCCCCCCCTTTAGTTAGGGCGTTCAGGTTTTTTCCACTTTTCTTAAGATTCCATTGAAGGTTGTAACGTGTTCATGGTATTTAGCATTGCAGGAGTGATGTTATTGTGTGGTAGCAGTTTTGCATGGAGGGATTCCCTTTTGTCTTTCTTTTGCAGTGACTGTACAAAATGCACCTGTAAATGTGCAGCAATGTACAAATAAAGAGTTTATAGACAAGACAAAAGACTTCATTCTTTCTTGTGTCACAGATTGTGTAGAATATTATGTTCTTGTGTAACACTGGAGTATTTTATCATTCTGCAAGCGCCCAAGTTATTTTTCAACGTTCTGAGGAAGTTAAAGGACTACATGAGAGCCATGACTTGACCCCTTGTCATTTTTCAATTTAAGACCAAGAAGAAGAAAAAAAAGAAATGGAATGGAAATATTTTGTAGGATGCCCCTTAGTGGGTGCTCTGGTGTGGTTTGCTTTTTCTTTCCTATCAAGCATTCATCGTCCTCAGCACTGTCACTTCTTCTTTTTTAGCTTTGAGACTCTCCTGTACCCTTGTGGCGGGACAAACATTTGGTTTAAGGGGATCCACTGGTCAGATCAGTAAAAATTTTGAAAAAATATCAGTTTTCGGATTTTGAAGTATCTTAATAGATATCAATATCAAGGATCCATCTTTAGAAGCCTGATTCCTTATCAAACTTGGAAATAGCTGGAAAATGCATTTGAGAGAGGTAGTAATGTAGGAAAATCTTCACCAAAAATTATCTCTCTTTGCAGTTTTCTCAGAATTGTTTATCTGACCAGGTAGCAACATTTTTTGAGCAGATCTCAGAAAGTTACTGTCAGAAGTGTTTCAAATTTGGACACAATCTTTTATACTCATTTCTCTATAACCTTACAGGAGCATTTTTGCTGTTTATGGAACAAATTTTGAGTTTTAGGCCTTTTTTATTTTACAAAATCTTAAAATATTGGAGACCTGAATGTAGTGCATAATAAAGACTGTAAGGCTCACAAGTCCGTACAGAAAATTCAAATTTGGCTCTGTAAGGTTGTTCTACCTACCAACAGTATTCACCATGCCAAATATTAGGCTTCTATCTTGATGAGTGTTGATGATTGACAAAATATAAAATTGGTTTTAAAAATGCTGAATCAATCCTTTATTTTTGATGGCTTGAGATTATTATGGCTAAAATCTTGAATTTTTTTGCTTGGTACCCTTTTTTGTACCATGTCACCGCCTTTGATGCAGAAAAGCCAGCGTTAGACCAAAAACTATAGCATTTGGGTGTTGACCATAGCTACACCCCCTTAAAAGGAATGTAGACATGCAAATCTATATAATAAGACTAAACCAAATCAATAATTTCAATTCAAGTGATGTGTATGTAATTAAAGTGTTGTGCTGATCAAGTATACCATGGCCCTGTTTTACAAATTCCTGAAGTGGGTTTGGGTTGTTTTTTTCAGCTAAAAAAAGATTGATGGTAATGATTGCTCAATTATAAAATCCTGTTTGACACAAGTTTGATCATTTAGGAGGTGGGCTACCTTGACCCTGCAGTATCAAGGCCAGCCCGGTCAGAGTGGGAAACGGCATTCCTACAGACAGATGGAGGTGAACAATCAAATTAAAATAGAAGAGATTTCCCCACAAAGGAACTGAATTCATGTCTTTTGCTTTCACAGTTAAGAACCAAATCACCACAGACGAAGGTAAATACATATAGATAATAGATGAGGAGAAGGAAAATGAAAAAAGCTTTAGTTTTAGTAGAGCAGGTGTGATGTTACATTCTCATATGAGCGCCAGAAGATAAGACGTGTTACAACAGAGTAACAAACATAAAAAAGAAGAAGGTGGGATAAGGACGATAGATGTTTGATAGGAAAGAAGAAGCAAACCACACCAGAGCACCCGCCAACCAACCACAAAATGAAAAAAAATCAAACAAAACTCGGTATACACAAAATACAAAACAGGAAGGAAAAGCATAAGCATATAGCAAAAAGTTCACAAACAAACAATCACACAATAGATTTGTGCACTAAACTTCAGTTTAAGTTTAATTTGATTATTCACATTATATTTCTCTCATAACTTGAGCAAAAAATACTTTGAATTGAAACAAAAAGCCAGACATGAATAACCCCTTAAGAAAAACTTGAATAACCCAAAACAAGAAGAAGGGTAGATACATCTTTGTAACATAAAGCAGTGTAATTGGTATGATGTTTGAGAATGATAGTCCAGTCTTGATGTTTACAATAACAAAATGTACAGGTTTGAAATCATCAAAAAAGCAGCCGATGAAAATTTGACCATGTCTGTCCAGCGTTCCTAAAGACATTCATTGTGAGAATTCATTACACAATGCATTAGCAAAATCATCAGTCATGATAAAGAGTAGAGTGCACATTTGAAACAATTTATATAACAACTACCATACATTCCATTATGCAGTTCCGAACATTTGACTAGAGCGCGAACAACGCTACATTTTCACAGCACGATTTTCAGCATAAAGGCCAGACACACAAAAACTTCTATACACAGACACTCACCCACAGATTTCCTTTGGGATTATATATACAAAATGTACAATGTAACACATAATGTTGATCAAATGATGGGATAAAAATAGCTCTGTCCTGCAAAGCTGTTGTGCCATGATGGGAGATGTAGTCATTTCCTTTGCATCCTCTACATGATAACATGTACAATTACCAGTAAACTTGGGATAAGTCAAATTCTTTTGTTTATTGATTCCAGCCTTTCTCATCATGAGTGATAACACCCCCCCCCCCCCCCCCCCCCCACCGTGATCTCACAATCTGGAATTGAACTAATCAAGAGGATGTCCACCAAGAAAACTTCATCACCTCCTTTATATCAATTGAGGCACCCTCCGTTGGATCAGTGATCAACATGACTTTCACATCAACAATTTGTTGGGGACTGGCGTGCTACCACATCCAGAGGCCTGGACAAATATTGTGACCCCTACAAACAAAAGGAATGTTTCTGTTGCATGTTATTTGTAACACTGATTCTATTTCATTCCATGGGCTCACCATATACAAGAATGAAGACAACACTCTCTATGGAGCTGGTTAAACAATGATCTGTCTGTATGTATAGTATAAGATTTTACGGCGCTCGCAACTGCTAAGGTCATATGAGCGCGCTGTCTGCTATAGTGCATTACAAGCTGCGCATAGAAAAGTAATCGTTTAGTTTTTTAATTGAGTTAAGTAAAGAGGAGCACATTCATATTGACACAGTAAAGTTCATTTAGCACAAGGAAAAAAACAAGCAAGGCAGAAACACAGAAACAGCAGAGAGAGAGAAAGAAGGAGGACCTACAAAAGTACCCTCTCTAACCACCTGCAGCCACTGTTAACTATAACTTTCCTGTCCCTCCATGAAGTAATGCACATGGGTGGTTGGCAGGTGCTCTGGTGTGGTTTGCAGCTTGCTCCCTCTTTTCTAGCAAACATCTATCGTTCTGACCTCTCCTGCTTTTTTGTGTTTGTTACATCTTGTAACATCTCAAATCTTCAGCACTTACATGACTTACCTGTGTTGCAAGTGCTGTACTGAAAGAATAGAGTCTGTCCTACTGTAAGAAATAAGCCATACAGCAATAATACCAGTACCTATGCCTGGTCAGACCACAAAAACTCAGTTTTTAGGTATCATTTGAGAATAAAATAAAAACATCAGTGCCTTCATTATAAAAAAAAAACCCTCAACAGCAATCTTTAGAACTCAAATCTAAGCAACAACAACAATAGACTATACAAGAGAGACACTTTCCTCAGAAAATGTAAATGTCAACAAACCAAGTGAGACAATCACAGAAAAGTCGCTTTTACTGAACTTACGTTTCAGTACAGCTTACACATCAGTAAATTTGGAATACATTTCACTTCCTTATCTCAAGCAGCAAACACTGACAACCATCATGGGCTCAACAAATAAAAACAATGTCTAGCTAAATGTACCTTAACCCTCCAGCTGATGATTGGATGGTCAGACCTCTTCCTGTGGTGTGCTGGCTGAATCAGCGGCCGTAAATCGACAGCAACAATAACCTTCATTAAAATAACATTAAATTTGTGTACAAGTTCAGCATGTTGGGACACTACGTAACGAGTAAATAACAAACTTCCTGTTCAGCTGGCCTTCTTTGCACTTTTACATTTGTTTTGAAGGTAGAAACTTGTTGTTGAATGTTGCTTCAACAGTTGTCAAGAATCTGTAAGCATCCTTGATAAAATAAATGAACCAAAGCCTGTACCTTTATCAGGACAGAAATGTTCTTGAAAGGTACTTTTTTTTATAATTAAACAAGTGATTCTGATGATATTTCGGACTACCATGAAGACAGAGACCTAGATCTAGCTGTAGACTTGGACGCGATGAACCAGGTGGACAGAGTAAATTTGCGTCAAAAACATTCCCATGCACTGATGGCTTACGTATCAAGTCAGTTTTTTTATAATTTTACTTATTCTGCATGAAACACAATTTATTGCCGGTTTTTTCCCCTTCTATAACAAGGCTATAACAAGGTACCTGGTTGTATACTGCAGTCTTTTTATTTCAAAGTTGTATTGTCATGTTTTTGGCTTCTACGCACACGAATAATTTTAAACTAAATGTACTAACTCATATATTTTCTGAAAGCTTATAAAAATGACTAAAAATCAGTATGATTTGGTTCTCAATTGTCTTGTGGAACGCAAATGTTCAGTTCCAAAGATTTTGTAAAATGAATAGTACTTGGGAAAAATGTTTTAACCTCACACTCCGTGCGATCGGAGAAAAGTACTGGATGTTGACAAGCTCATTTCTTTGTTTCATAAGCAGTTTGCTTTCAACTCAGACAGTGATGCTAAAATAAGGGACATGAGATAAGACCACGATTCTAATCACATACAGTGGTGTGCACATACATCAAAATCTGCGGGTTTGCTGGATTTTCTTCTGTTGAAAGGGACTGCTCATGCAGTGAATAGAAAGAATTAAGAATTCCATTTTCTGTCAATTGGCCAATGTTTTTGGATTGACCACGTTTGGCTTAAATGGACTACACTATGATTCCTTCAATCTATTTACTCTAATGTATCGAATAAACCCCCCCCAATCCTTATTCCATACCCCCCGTTCATTATTTTCCAGCTTGCCACGACCGACGATCATGTGAAACATTATATATAGAATCTAGATATCTGAAAAAAACTTTTTTTTTTGTGGTAAATGGCAAATTACCCTCAGTATTAGCACAGGTACAAGGTTGGCTACCTCAATTTTCTGTGCATCTTAAAAACTTTTGTACATTGGTTTAATTTTTTTTTAATGAAACTGGTTTGTTGCTAAATCAGAAAAGTTGTGACAGTAACTTACTAAAACCACAAAAATTTCATGATCTCTTGTTCTTTTATTCACTAAAGGAGAAATAAAACAGATTTGTTCCTACTAGTACAGGGGTATGAGGCTGAATGTACCACCCCCCCCCTTTTTAAATTTCCCCCCCCCCCCCCCCCCAACCCCCCGCTTATTAATTTTGGACCACTTGTCCACACCCCCCGTTTTTTCCGATCCCCCCTTGTTTATTCGATACCTTAGAGTATGTGTTCTCAATGCAGTTGGTGCTGCCAACATCAAATTGACAATAGATGAGACCAATAATTGGATCACATAATATCCTTTTGTCCTTTCACCATGTTCTCAGCTCAGTCAGTGATGCCGTAATCATGCTGCTTGTAGACTTTTCCCATGATGAACCAATCACGGACCAGCTTGAAGAGGGTGTAAAAGTTGCAGAACATGAGGAGGGCGAGTGAGATTACGTGGCTCCACTCTGAGCTCTGTAACAGTCGGAACATTTGGTAGCCGACCACCAGCCCTGTTAGACTTACCAGCCAGTTCATAACTCTCAGGGGTTGGTGAAACAGCATCTGTGGAAAAGACAAAGTTACATCTAACAACTGAGGAAAATATAACGATAGTTTACAAAACTGAAGAAAATACAAAGTTATAACTGGACAAAAAATATAAAGTAACGGTTTATGAAATCAAAGAAAATGCAAAGTTAAGGCTTACAACTGAGGAAAGAATAAAGTAATAATTCACAAAAGCAAAGAAAATACAAAGTTACTGCTTAAAATTGAGGAAAATATGAAGTTACAACAAATTTCTATAGTATATGGAACTTTCTAATTTTCTTCAATTATGACTTTAATTTTCATGGAAAAACAATCAGAGGAACATCTACCAGCATCAGTTTTGGAATGGATAGGAGCACAGACCTTTATTTTCAGTAGGAATGTGAACAATATTAATATAGTCTTTTATCGTTGCACTTGTTGTTAATATCAATATCATAACTATTATGAGAATGTCATGAACATGCATGTGCAAGTGGGGAGGAAGGGCCTTCAACAAAATTTCTTTTTTGACTCAACATGGGCCATTCCTGGTACTATCCCAGAAGTTAACTCTTTCAGTATACTGTATATATTTCTTTCAAAGAAGACTGATATTGCAAATAGTTTCGATAGATCTAGCCAAACAAACAAAAATCTCCTTGAATTTTACCTGGAGCCCCCAAAAGCACTCAAGAGCAAATAATGGCGAAAAACAAAAGCATCCGACAATTTTTCTTTTTTGAAATTGTTTTACGGCGCTTGCTACTGCATAAGGTCATATGAGCGCACGCCACCCATTAAATATTTTTCAGTTAGTAGAAAATTTTGGATTTTGCCCTGGTGGCGGCCGAAGCCTATTCTTATCGATTTTAGGACCACAAAGGGATCTTTAACGTGCGCAACTTGCACTTATCCGAGAAGACTAGGTGTTAGATCTTATCTACCATAAGATCAGGGGTGTAGAATAAAAACGGCAGTGAGAAGAAGCCGAGGAGCAGCAGTAGAAAGGCTGCAGAAAGAGTCAGGGGCCCAGAGGAGGGGGTAAAGGGGAAAGGGGAAGTGGGAGGGGGCAGAAAGCGGAGATGAAAGCAGACGACAGCGAAAGCAGACGACAGAATATGGTCAGAGAGCGCAGGAAAGGGGGGGGTGAAAGAAGAAAATTTTCCACCACTGTCCGGATTCGAAGCCGCGACCTTTTGTTTTTTGAATGAGAGGCAAACATCACAACCTCTAGACCACGAGAGCCCCCATCCTACAAGTAAAAAAAAAATAAATAAAAGGACAATAAAAAGACAGACATTTCATTCATTTGCTCATGTTTCTATGAGGACAACAGACCCCCAGCAGCACTCACATAAAACCGACTGTGCAGGCTGTTCCCGGGTTCAGCAGTCACGATGATTCCCTCAGCCTTGAACAAACCCCGGACGTGTTTGACCAGAGCTCCCTGTGGCCACACCTGTAGCTCTGACCACCTGAAACATCAACAACAAATCAACACCACTAGCAAAATAAAACAACAAAAATTAACACGACTAACAAAAAAAAACCCCAACCACTAACACCACTAACAAAATAAATAAAACAACAGTAAACATTCCTAACAAAATGAATAAAACAACAACAATTAACACGATTAACAAAATAAAACAACAACAATTTGCACCACCAACAAGAAAACAACACAACAACCATTCCTATCACCAGCAAGAAACCATTAATACCACCAACAGGAACCAACAACAACAACTTACTCCATCCACCACAAAAACAACCAACAATCTTTACCACCATAAAAAAACCCAACAACAATTCCACATCACCAGTAAAAATTACAACAACCATATATAACAACAATTTTAGTATTTTTAGTTTAAGTAGAGGTTTTTCGGCGCTCACAACTGCATAAGGTCATTTGGGTGCCAGAAGATTAGAGGTGTTACAAGAGAGTAAAAAACATAAAAAAGAAGAAGGGGAGATAAGGACAATAAATGTTTGATAGGAAAGAAGAAGCAAACCACACCAGAGCACCCGCCAACCACCCACTAACAACAATTTACATCCCCAGCAAAGATCATCCATAATTAGCACCACCGGCAGCAAATACACCGATCACTCTTTTCTGAATACAAAAATAAAAGAAACCAAAGCCAAATTTATGAATAATGATTTCCGTGTCTTAGTGGCTGACGATTCTAAGACAATTATCATATCCTTATAGCAGTGGAATTAATCACCACACAGCATGATATCTAGCCCTGGGTCTTAGGGTCAGGTTAGCTTCCTGCCATCGTTATGCTCACATTGATTTCAATACAAAATCCATTCTCCTAATCTGTTCCTTGGGAAATATGGCCATTATGGCACAGACTTGCTCTAAACAACAACCCACTCAAAATCCCTTCATGTTTTAGTAAGACTTTTAAGGCACTTGCAACCCAATAAGAAAAGGTCATACGAAGACTAGAAGTGCTAGAACAGGGTAACAAACACAAAAACTGAGGACAGATAAGGACGATAGATGTTTGATAGGAAAGACGAAGCAAACCACACCAGAGCACCCGCCAACCACCTCTAAAAAATCCACTCAATCACTGAGCAGAAAAGAGGCATACAAAATAACATACACATTACTTGTACACATACAGTGGAATCCTGTTATAACGAGAGGGAGGGGACCGGTGCGAAAAGTCCGTTATACCAGGATTCTCGTTATAAGGAATCTAGTAATATATTCAATGGAAATAATAAAGTAGGCCTAATCTATGGGTTTGGTGTTCTGTTTATTTCTTTTTGTTATCTCCCCTGGTGATAACATTGTTCAACATGACCTCTAGGTCTTACTTGATCCAAAATCAAATCAGGTTTCTTTCTCAAGCGCTAGCAATGTTGACAGCACGGCGTTGGCGATCAGAAAGAATGCGCTCTGGGCTAACTCGCCTGCTGTGTTGTTCCCCCACCCAAACACACCCTGTGGTGTGTTTCGTCTGCTTGCGCACGATACTACACATTCACTCCATCCTTCACAGCATTGTGACCTCTCTATCCCCGCATCGGAGAAGTGAGGGAAAGGGTAGTGGTAGGCCTACACAGAGATGCCAACCACAGAAAACCGAAATGAGTATTGGGAAATATGAAAATGTGTATTTTCAGGGGAAAATGTGTATTCCCCACGACCGACCAACTAATAATAGTAAAATGTTCAGGGTGTCCAGCAATATTTCCTGAAAAAAAATTACTAGCTCACCAGCTCGAAAAAGGGAGCACACACGCGTACAATATACACGTATCCAGTCAACAACATGTCAGTGTTAAATGTCGTACTGTGGTCTGGTTTGACTTCAGTATTTCAGTCTATTATATACCGGTAACATTTTCCTCTCATTATTATATAAAAAATAAATCCTGCTTTGAGAGTTCGGAAGGGCCTTGAACAAGAATTTTGACTATCAAGAACCAGTCTGGGTGTCATGATTCATAATATAAAGTGACAGACTCAAATTATTGCTCAAACTCAGAGAAAAGCAATAACTTGAATGGCTCAATTAAGTAGACCCACGCACTGTGAAAGTTGTAACAACTGTGACCAGGCAAGATGCAGTGACACTGAAAATCCGTCAGTCTTGAACAGAAAGCTACAATTACATCACTGTAGGTATAATTTACTATTACCCATCCAATGAAACGCGAACACTTTATTTCAATAACACAGACTTGCAAAGTATGAAGGGTCCCGACTCCGCACACGGTCTGCACCAACGCGCGCTTTGCAGAGAGCTCTAATCAAAATTCTGAAATGTGCTTCCAAGTTTTTGTCCTCTGGTGTTGCCTTAAAAAATTAAACCCCCCCCCCCCCCCCCCCCCACACACACAAAAAATCAATAATCTCCTCCCCTATTCCGTAGTCCTATACTTCGCAACGTCGTTACTCCCACCAAAGACGGTGTTTACTCACTACGATGCCGTATAATTATTTATGACGCGAATGCGCGCAGGTTCAGTGACCAGTCACGATGGCGAGCCAGACAATCTAAAAATCGGACGACGCTTGCATTTTCTTTTCTTTTCCACAAGTGACAACACAGAGACGAGTCCCGAGCATTGATTAAATTTTATTTGCACAGCGACATTGCATTTACACTGCACAACCTGCATGTCACAAATGTTGCATTATCAGACAACTGCTGGCAAACTTCTCGGTGGTAACGAAAGCGAAAGTATATCTTGATTTTCCCGATCGAGCCTCGGTGTCACATACGCTTCCGCCCGCCGCCATAGCTGCCTATTTGCGTGAAAGTGAAAGGTACTCTCCGGACGGGGAAAAGCTGAACGAATATAATATCACAATCGCGACCGGCAAAAATGAACTTCATGACCATATCGGACTTGGTTTTCAAATTCCAGTTCTGCGATACTGATACTATTTTGACAAAAGATGGGACTTGAGATAATTAGGTTTACTCGCCCAAGCTGAATCTCGTATTTTTCGCATTCCATGATGCGTATTTTTTCATGAAAAGTCGTATTCGCGTATTTTCTGCAAAAAATCGTACTAAAATATGTTAAATCGTACTGGTTGGCATCCCTGCCAAGATAATCTAGACTAGGCTGGCCTATCACATGATGCGTTCTGCTTGTCTGCACTTACCACACCCTCCCCACTCATTCGCTTCGGCCTTCTTTGTTGGCAAACGTGGGCTCTCCTATTCTTTGTTTCGCTCAAGGAGTTGACGTAAGGTCCTAGGTTTCGCTAGATCACCAACAAGTTTCTCAACTGGCAAGGTTTATATGTACAACTGGCCTGTGCCCTGTGCACAGCAGCAGCAATATTCCGCTATAACCGACTCCTGTGTTTGTCTGATAGCGCTATAGCAGTATTTTATTTACAAAGATAAAGAAGGGGAAAAAACGGGGTTTTAGAATAGTGCCTTTATAACAAACTTCTCGTTGTTTCAGGACTCGTTATAAGTGGACTCCACTGTACTACCTAAGAAAACAGGCAATTTATAGAGCTCTGTACGCGAGTTACAGCAAGGCACTGCACCAGTGTTACACGGCCAAGAACTTACGCATTATAGGGCACGTGTGCATGTCGAGCCTCCATCCTCTGCCATCGGCCTAAATGACGCGCGCTCTTGTGCAGCAGGTGTAGGTAGTGCGGCGGGAGGAAGTGGGAGGTGAGCATGAGTAGCGCGCTCAGCCAGGTCAAGCACACGTGTTGCCACATCCACCATGAGTCATAGTACAGCGTGTTCTGCATGGACACACAAGAGCATGAAATGAAATAAAGTTTTGGAGGTTTTTTTTCTACCTAAAAATAAGTAGGCCTACCTCAGAAGCATGGCAATATCTTCAACAGAGTGAAATAATAAAATCTAAGACAGAAAATTTCATCAGTAAAACTGATTTTAAAAAAAAGATATTTCAGGATTCGCCAAAGGGTAATCTGATTATGGGATGGCATTAAAGTCACTTTTCTTTTCAAATTTGGAGAGACAGTCAAGATGAAAATAACCAGGTTAACATAATGTCAATATTTCATCTAAAGAACCAATAATTAATATTCATTTAAGTACTAGTATTTAAATATAAAGCAACTTCAGTACAACTCTTAATAAAAAAGACTTTATAAAGTTCCAATAACGAATAATATCATCAAATTCACAGGAACATGTATGAAATTATGCTACAGTTATCTCCACTACAGTCATCCTCTGTATAGCAATACATGGGTCAAAATGTGTATATATTCTATTATCATTACCAATGATTAGGTACAGAAATAAATTTTGAAAGTGAAGCGTTAACTTTTATTTAATATTCAATTGTTTCTTCATAACATATTAGACACTTCTGACCCATTAAATTATCTTCTGTATGTGAAGTGTTATGAACTTTTGGGGAATTACGACATTCAGCTGTTACTGTTATAGAAGATAATGTACTACATGCAAACTTTTTTGCCACTCCAGTGGCTGTGGGCTAGCACTTGTAACTCAAAAGTTATAACAGCTCTCAGTCAGACATTTTTTTCTTTTCTACTTTCCCAAGTTAATAGTACTTTGCAGAGTCTTGATAAATAAATCCTGTAGGCTCTGATGTGTCAGGTATACAGCGTGACAAAATGTCAACTTCGCAGACTACAGATGATGAGCGCTTACACCGAGGTGCGGAAAGTTCTGCCAAAAGTGAAGGTGAGAGTGACATTTACTGCCAAGGGAGACCACAGAGATCCAAAAGTGTGGTAAGGTAGAAATTCAACATAACCACTGTCAAAAAGTAGATGCTAACAATATAATAAGTTTATTCATCATAAGCTGTTGGGAATTAATGTGGTGAAGTATGTCTACTTTAATATTCTTTGGAGAGACTACATTAAATCTAGCTTTTATAGAATAGATGACATAAGTAACACAAAAACCTTCATTACATTCAGATATTAGAATATTAAGCAAGCTTCAGCACCATACCTTTACAATTTACAGAATTTAATGAAACAGTGCCATTGCCCAAAAAGCTACATGGGATTTATTTCCTATGCAAGCATGCACAGCAAAGTTATATTGAAAAATGCTAACATACAGAAAGTCCCCAAATTGTTTCTTCTAAGACTTGAGCATTCTGGATATCTCACAGGTCCTGCCCTTTCATTGCAAAAGATGAACAGTGACAAGAAGAGGAAAATACTATAAATCTAACACCAAAAGAAGAAAAGGAGCAAAAACAGCCCCAACATCAACAAACCAGTAGCAGATCTCAAAAAGAACATAAAATACTGCTGTTGGGGGGTTTGAATTGTGCTGCATAAAGCCGTCGTTCAGTGTTAAATAATGCAGTCATAAACATATGGGGTGCAAAAAGTTTGAAAGTGTAATAAATAAATGCAAAATTATGTGACATTTATTAATGAAACAAAGGTATTAATATTTTCTTTTAAAAAAACTAAAAAAAAACAACTTACCCACAACTAAATAAACATAAGACATCAAACATTTACTATAAATAAAAAGACATTTCATCAAGAAAATTTGATACATAGAGAAAAAATGTAAAGAGTAACAAAAGCACAAAAGAAGAAAACAAAAATGAACAACTATTTCTGTCCTGAAGCAAAAAGCCTGAATACATCTGATATGAAAAGTGATTTGGACCAACAGTCGCAAACTAAACAATACTTTATTTTAAAGGAAGACATTCATTAATTACTGTCAAAGTAAAGTGTGGCGTCCTATTCAGAGCTACTCCAGCATCCTCACACAGGGCGTGAAAGATCTCTACATTTGCTGTGAAGCCAGTTTTCAAGGCGCAGTGTTGGTCTTTATTATGCCTTTGGTACACATGACAGCGGGATGCAATTTTGAAATAAAATATACGTGTGAACATTTCTCATTAACACACTGAAACACCCGACAACTATTTTTTATTTACAGACATTGATCTGAAAGCCGGAGGTATAAATATATAGCAACAGGAACATATTAAGACACGAAAGTGAGGTCCAAACTTACCCAGCATGCATCACAGCTACTGTGAGCATTCTAGAAGTAATGCATCCAGTAGTCAGATCAGTGTTATCACAAATATGCTTTGTTAAAAACGATTGTCAAGTTGACGATAATGGTAAATATTTTAGTGTAAACATACTTCATACTATTTCATCAAAAGCTGCCATTACAGCTTTTGAATGTTAATACACTCAGTATCATTTCGAGAATGAATGTGCAAATTGAAGAAGAAACAAACGTCTTTGCATGTTAGAGTACAATCTCAATACGGAAGTGCAGCAAAATTTCTCTGAAGAACCTTAGAACCTTAACCTTAGTCACACACAACTACATCAAATGACATTATGTGCGC